AGGCCGGCTTGCCAAGTCCCTGCGAGCCCCTGCCGAGCCCCAGCCCAGCCGAGCGGCACGCGACGGGTGACGCCGACCCCGCCGCTAGCCGCCCATGGCCCCGGGGACCGGGAGCCCGCGAGGCTTCCGCCGCCCTGGCCGATCGAGTTTCTTTGTACGACAGTAATTGGTGCAAAGAGGTTGTTGAAGTCCAGGCGCGATTTCCAGGCGGCAGGTATTTCTTTCAGCCGGGGCACTCCAGCATCCTCTAATGGCACGCTCAGGTTGCAGGAAACCACCGCGACAGCTCGGTACAGCTTCCCACTCCGGGCCTTGCTCCCAGCTTACTGCAAAGGGCGACGCGCCTGGGACCCCTCCGAGGCTCTACCTCACACCGGCGGGGAAACAAAGCTGGCGCTGACTGGGGAGAATGGCCCGCGAAAGTGCCTCAAGACAGTGCCTTTGTTAAGAGGAAACATTGCGTGCACCCGGAATGAGACTTCGCCTTGCAGCACCCGCGACTTCGGTGGTGCTGTCGTTCAGTTGCTCTGGCCCCTGCCTGGCAGGGTTTGCGTTTATTGCAGAGAGAGGCTTAAGCATTCTGTCAACACATACGACTTAGAAAGCCTCAACCATAACATTGCAGTTTTTACAGTTACTGCTTAAGCATGTTAGCAGACAAGACGTCCTTGTTTTACCCGAAGGAATGGAATAGATAGATTCAAGGCATCCATCCTCCACCCCCACTCTCTGCTGTATTTAACTGCACAGTGATGGTAATTAGCCTCTGGGTCCCTCAAGCCACTGGTTCAGTTTTTCCGTACTCCAAAGATAATTATTCATTACCAAATTTGAATAAAGAGCTATATGCCTTACAGATTAATTTTGGCTTGCATCCGAAGAACAGAGGTCATAAAGTCCACTAAAGAATTATTTACTAACATTCAGTTCTGCGCCAGAGAAAAACAGTTTGGAATAACCCTAAAGATATTCGAGTCATTGTGAGTAGAAGTGGAAGTGGAAGCATTTTAACTACATCCAAAACTGCTAGAGTTAAATACATGCATTAGTTTCTTAGCATGCAGCAGAAGTTGAATATTTACGATTACGCCAGCGTTTCAGTGATGAATCACTAAGAACATTAGCTGGCAGTTTGGGAATGGCAGACAGATATTCTAGAATTACCAACTTGTGTCAGTATGGATCTTAACGACAGTACCAAAAAACCCAAGTGTTCTGTACAGATGTGACAAAGGGTCACTTGTCAAGCATCTGGGATGGAGTATCTCCCATACCAGTGAAAACTCCGTTGAGTCCCGGGATTCCTGTGCTGCTTTAAAGATTTAAAGATCCATTAAATATGTTTCTGTATGTAGCTCTGTAGTAGAGCACTTACCTAGTGTACAAATGCTCTGGATTTGATTCCCAGTGTCAAGGGGGAGAAAGTGTGGTACAGTCCATTCAAATAAACCTACCTCCAACCTAGATAAGTAACACCAGATTGTCTCTAAGACTTGCCCTGATCCTAGCCCTTTTGATTTAAACTCGTGCTCAGAACCATTCTGACTACCACTCAGACTAAGACAAGACCCTGAACCTCTCATAAAAGTCTGCCATTAGAGTTTATTCCCTCGGGGATTATTTCTCTAGCATAAAGCCATAATCCTGGGAAAGGTAATATTTTAAGCCTTAATAGTCATTTATACCTAATTCACCAGATTGTTGAAAGCAGCTTTTGATGGAAGGAGGAAATAGAGATAACATGCTGATGCTGAGTAGATAGAAGGAAATTAGTCCTATTCTCTGGAATGCTATAGGAAGACGAGAGGAATACAGGCAATAAAATGATCCCCATTAACAGTTAAATAAGACCCGCTTACTCAGTAAGAATGGCCACAAAAGTGACAGCCTTTTTAGTCTTCTTTTGTATAGTCCAGACAACCATGATAACATTCCAAAATTTTAAAGAAAGCACTGAAAAGGAGTCCATGTATTCATATGTGTGAACCCCCAGATGTACCCCAAACCCCTAAGCTTTACAAGAATTGAAAGGATACTTATCTATTTTGTCAAATCTTATTTAATAATCCCTTTATAAAGTATTTCCCAGAAATTCTGTTCTGTGAAATGGCAACTATATGATCAGATATTCAGTAACCAGACATGTTCATCTTTGTCATTCATCATGGACTGTTGAGATCTAACATATGAGCAGCACACACAGAGAGAGCTGAATCTCCTATTTGGGCTTTCTTATAAGGCATTACTGTTCCATGCTTTGCAGATTAGTTTTCTTTGAAAATCCTCCCACAGGACCTTGAACTACAGATGGGCTGAACTTTTCATTTATGATTAAACGAGGAACTAAAGCCCCACCTTAAGCTAGGCTGCCTTGCTGTGATTCTGTAATGATTAACTGACCTCTGAGACTGCCTTCAAGAGTAAGCTAATGTTTGTTGATGGCAGAGCTTTGTCTTCTGTGAATACACAGGGAATCTTTCTTTGGGATGCCCCTTCCCAAAGCCAGGGATGAGGAAAAGACTACCATCTGATGGAGATAACCCACCGATTTGAAGGACAACATCCTTAAGGCCTTCAGCATTCCAAGGAACGTATACAAGGTCAGTCAAGAAAAATAACCCAAAGAAAGGGCATCAGCACTGTTTTTTTTTAAAAAAAAAAATACCTTGGTCATTGCCCCAGGCCAACCAAACAATTCTACTCAGCACCAGGGAGAGGGTAAAGAACTTGAAATGATCTTTCATTCTTCTTTTCTCTGTCCTTGACAAAGAATTAGTCATCTAAAACTAGTTTTTTTGTTTTGTTTTGCTTTTTTCTGTTTTTTAAAATCAGATTAGTGTTTAGGAAAAATGCATCTCTGGCTAGCATAGACTTAGATTAAAACCAAGTCTAGAAGCTTTAGATAAACTAAGTCAAATTACTCTGTAGTGTTTTTTAGTAGAGATTTGACTTCCCTCTTTTGACTTCCCTCTTAGCCCCTTGATAGAGTGGGGCAGGAGGTCAGGGAAGCAAATCTGTGAGAAAAGGTTGCTTATCTCAAAGAGGCAGTACCTGCAGAAACCAAAACTGGGATTTTCACAATACTTCAGGAATAGAATCATCCTTCCCATGACAAATATTTCAGTAATATTGTAGGAATCACAGGGAATGCTATGGGTGAAAAGCTTTCTGAAAAAGTTTTGAAGTCTTTTTTTCTACTAGTACAGTGGTCCTTTCTTACAAACTGACACATTCCAAGAACCCTGTCAGTGCTTAAAACTGCATGTAGTACCAAACCCTGCGTGTTGTGTTTTTCCTCTACATGCATACCTGTGAGAAAGTTTATAAATTAGGCATAGTAAGGGATAGCAGCAACAACCAATAATAGGATAACTGTAAAAACATACAGCAATAAAAGTTAAGTGACGGCCAATGAGATGTTTCAGTTGGGTAAAAGCGCCTGCTGCCACGCCTGATGACCTAAGTTCGATCCCTGGGACCCACATGGTGGAAGGCAAGAACCAACCCACACAAGTTGTCCCCTGACCTTCCATACACAACTGTGGCACATACACATGCACATACACAATAAATACATTTTTTAAAGTTATATGAATGTAATCTCTAAATATCCTGTATTACACTCATTTTTCTTCTGTTAATGGAAGATGATAAAATCCCTACATTAGATAGCCAAGTGTGGTAGCACACGCCTGTAATCCCAGCACTGGGGAGCAAAGGCAGAAGGACTGCTGCAAGTTTAAGGCCAATCGGGCCTACATAGTGAGATAACTGATGTGATGCAACATTAGTCTATTATGTAAGAGTTCCTTAAACATAAGCACTGAGATAGGACAGTCTGGTAAGTGAAGTGACTAATGGGTAGGAAATGCATACATTGTGAGTATACTGGGTGAATACATGATTTAAGTCCCAGTCAGGACAGAGCAGAACATCAGGAGAGCTCATCAATGGCTCAGAACAGCATACAGTTGAACATGGATGACCTGTTCATTTCTAGACTTGTCTATGCAATATTTTCAGTCCGTACTTGACTGCAAGTAACCGAAACCAGGAAAAGTGACATGTGAAAAAGGAGAATCTGCTGTATATCACTGAGCATCTCTTCTAGCCATTTTGTGTCACCAAAGTTAATTTTTCTTCTAGTCATCTTGTGAAATTTTAAACATGAGAATATAAACAATGCCTATCGATATTTTATGTGGCTTCTGAAACATGATTGAATTAGAAACATGGCTACTGAGTGATTTGGGGCACTGAGTAACTGCAAGCATAAATTTGAGCTTCTCCACTTCTAGAATAGGGACGATAATACTAACTACTTCATACATTATAGGCATACGAAGTGAAATACTGCTAGGAAGGTGCTTGACCCATTTATTTGCCCATTGCTTGGCAGACTCAACATGTTAACTAGGGTTAGTACTGTGGGTTTTTGTTGTTGTTGTTGTTGTTGTTTTTAAAATACTTTATTCATTATTTTTATTTTATGTGTGTGAGTGTTATGCTTGCATGTAGGTAAGTGCACCCATGTCGTGCAATGCCGGCAGAGAACAGAAGAGGCCGTCGGATCCCCTAGAACTGGAGTTACAGACAGTTTCTAGTGGCCATGTGGGTGCTGGGATTCGAACCTGGGTCTTCTACAAGAACAGCCAGTGTTCTTAACCACTGAGCCATCTCTCCAGCCCCAGTATTGCAGTTTTAAATGAACTGATAACATGTACCATGCTCCCATCATTTCTAAGGCCACCATAGCGTACTTTCCAAAGTAGGACATCTTGAGAATGAAAACAGTATCAATAATTACGTGGGGCTGCAAACCTATGTAACCCGAATTTCCTGGGCCTAGTGGGCAATAGTCACACTGATAATTTCCAACTTCCTTCCCTTTCTGATCCACTTCCCCTCTCTCATATGAATCATAGTCTGTTTCTAACATACTACAATGTGCATTGTCTCTTTGCAAATTGTAGCAAAATTAAATCAACAAAAATCTAAATAGTGTTACGCATTGCCCTTCCATGCAGGCTTGTACTTCTATGCAAAACAGAAAAATACCTTTGTTTAGGTAACAAAATTGCTCTTTACCTACTCAGTTAAACCCACACTTCATGAATTAAATTTTTTTCATATAGCATTTTATTAAGCCAGGCATGGTACACACCTTTAATCCTAGCACTCAGGAGGCAGGGGCAGCGGGATCTCTGAGATGGAGGCCAGCCTGGTCTACATAGGGAATTTCAGGCCAACTGGGGCTACAATGAAACCCTGTCTCAAAACAAACAAAACAAAAGCAAAAGATACTGCATTTTATTCTAAAAAATTCTATTATCAAAATACCATGAATATAGCCAATACATAGACATTAAACACAATTAGGTGTTAGTGACTACATGTCCTATTTTAAAATAGCTATATTACCAGAAAAAAAAACTTATTTTCTAGTTAAACCTTGTATCATCCCTATTTCAGAAGAATAAATCTGTATTGTCAAAGCCTGTCATATCATAATGGTAATACTGGAAAAGTCTCATCTAAATCTGGTTTAATCAGTATTGGGAAAATGATAACCCTCAATTGGGTTTTCTAAAATAATTCTGACTATGCTTTAATAATCTTATGAGTATTACAGATAAATTTATTTTCTGGGAATTTACTGAAGTTCCTTCATAACTGCTGAACCAAATAGCAACATAATTTTAAATGTATCGGCTTTTTTCCCTAGTCTAATCTCTGTTTTTGTGCTATTAAATGACTGCTATATATTTTAGCTTTCTTAATTACTTTTAATTGTTTTGTTTTTCCAGTTTCCCTATATGGTGGATGTTTCAATTCTTTCTACCTCTTGTAACATTTGAGTTTTTTGTTTTCTTATATAAAACTTTATAGAGTATATCATTCACATTTCCTGCTATACAGCATACCAGAGCATTCATAGAAACATTGCTTTCCTTCAAAGGACATTGGTCTATATTTGTGCATGAAGAGCAAATGCATAGAGAAGAAATAGTTCTCAGAGTTTTTCAAGTATTTTGCTTTGTAATCTTCAAATCATTTTTCTTTTTCAGATATTTTTCTTTCTCAGGATGTGATCTTTCTGTGTAGCACAGGCTGACCTCAAGTCTACAGTCCTCCTGCCTCCGCCTCCTGAGTGCTAGAATCTTTTTCATTCTTGATTTTTATTTCATTTACTTGAGTTCTGTCCACTTTTCTACCTTGTAGATAATGATATTTCTATTTCATCTTCTGTAGTGGTGAAACCTAACAAATTCTTTCTCATCAATATGGTCATGTTTCAGAAAAGTTCATGCATTTCTGTTAGCACTTACATGCATGACCTATAAAATGGGGAAAATAAGCCCTTTTTGCCTATTTTATAGGGTTATTGCACGTGCTAAATGAAATGATGAGCATTAAAGCATATTGTAAACGTATAAATCAAACTATAATTATTTTCAGGTACAGAATAGCATGAGCCACATTAAGTGTACATTGTCATAGCAGTTCCATAGTCTGTGTTAGTGTTTGGTTCTAAAAATGTCCCTCGAAGGCTCATACGTTAAAGGTATAGTTGCCAGCTGATGGACTTCTGAGGGTTGATGGGTCATGAAGGCTCTAAGTATATCAATGGGTTAATCCACTGCTGAACAGACTGCTAGACAGTGAGGCTTAGCTGGAGTGAGGCCACTGAGAGAGTAAGTTTAAGGGTTATATCTGGCCCCTGAACCCTTCTTCATTGTCTGTCTCTGCTTCCCAGCAGCTCTGCTCCACATGCCCTCTCTGCCATGATATTCTGTCCTTAGCTCAAAGCAATGGGTCCAGCTGATAGTGGTCTGAAATCTCTGAGCTAAAATACATCTTACTCTCTTAAGTTATTTTTCTCAAGTATTTTGTCTGAGTGACCAAAAGTGACTAACAGTATACACATTTTAAATTCTATATTAAATGTAGTGTCTACTTTTTAAAGAAAATCTATCACTTATAGGAGCAGGTATTAAATCATCATATTTTATGTAAAAATTCAAGTTATTAATGTAGAGGCCAAAATTTTAATAGTCTTGATAATTCAGGTACTAGCTAGATTTTCCACTCTGACAATGCTGACAGGGAAATGAGACGTGTTAGTCTCACAGAGAATGTCTGGCCTACTTAAAGAAAACCAGCCTTTAAAATTAGAATCTGAGAATTCTCAGAAAATAAGCAGGAAGGGACCTTAGAAGTTGTCTACCTTCAAGTTCAACTGTATTTTATAGGTGAAGGAACATAGGTTTGAAGATTGACCTGAAGTCACAATACTAGTTAGTGGAAAAACTGTAATTAAAACCTAGTTCTTTGGGGATAGGGATATAGCTTAATGGTAGAATGCTCGCTTAGCATGGGTAAGGCCTGGGGTTTGTGTCCTAGCACTTCATAGAAAAAAAAAAAAAAAAAAAAAAAAAAAAGAAGAGCCCAGTTTCTCCCACTTCAGTGTTTGTCAGATTCCACTACTTTGTCAGCACATAGGAATCCAAACACAGAGGAACCCAAAAAACATGAAAGAATAGTTCGACATATATAATTACTTAAATTTTTAAAACTCCTGATAGCAAAAGACACCATA